TCCCAGTTTTGGTCACAGATATAATATTAAACATTCTAAAAACTCCCAAACGGCGAGAGGCGTGCGTGGCTCACGTTTCCAGAGCGTCTTCTGTACCTGGGGTGGCGATGCTGCCGCTGAGTTAGTTACTCGCTGATTATTATTGTATTATCATCGGTCATGTTTATAACATTTACCTGCTGTTGAGCCAGGCAGCCCCTGTAAGTCCTCCCTCGCCATGTAACGTGGTCGCTACCGTAATATCAGCTGTTCCATGCAGCCCCTTTAAACCCTCCCTCCCCATGTAACGTGCTGGCTACCATCGCATCAGCCGCGCTGTCTAGCCCCTGTAAACCCTCCCTTCCCATGAAACGTGGTCGCTACCATGGTATTAGTTGTTCTATCCAGCTCCTGTAAACCCTGCCTTCCCAATGCAATGCGGCTTGTCCGGCTCACCATTCAAGCGGAGATTCTTAGCTCAAAGGGCCTTACCTGACATAATCGTGGCCGGCTAAGTTATGGACGTCTTCAATGATTTATGGTCTCAAGTCAATAAGCGACAGAGGCCACGACCCACTTTCTGAAGTCAGGATTTCTACCGCCTCCACTGCCGCCGTGTGATGGTTGGCACACCCGACCCGCGATCCAGAGGTCACCAGTTCGATTCCATGTCCTGGCACCGCGGTTGAAACAATGGGGCAAGGTTCTTAACTCCCTCGCCCCCCCTACCCTACCGCCGCCTATGTCCAGTTGGCGGTGTAACCAGATTCACCGCGGTTAAGTCGACCGGTGGGGCCGCTAGTGGTGGGGGTATAAAGTGTGGGTGCTCCCACCGCTTCCCGCCCCCTAACTGGACATCTGTGGGGAAAAAAAGAGCTTCATAGCTCATCGGATTTCTCCAGGATAAATACAGATTCTGATTCTTCCAGCACGTCTGACCAGGATGGAAGAATAGGCCAAATGAACCCTCTGGAGAGACTGCCTAGAGCGACCTTCAGGGGGGGGGGGGCCTTCTGTCAGCTGTGGGATGAGCAAGCAATTGCAGGGCTGCACCTTTACGGTCATCAAAGTGCGCAGTGCGGTTAGAATAAATTGGCAATCGTTTGACCATAATTCACCACGCCGGTCGTTGCCGGTTCATGAAGGGCGCGGGGCTCAGGCGCCGGTTGAGACGTCGCTCGCCGCCGATGTTGACCGCGGCGGAATCGAACTCAGCTCGCCAGGTGCCCGGGCCGGTGCGCTAACCACTGCGCCACCGCTCGCTCACTCCCATCCACCTGTAAAGAGGTGGCTACAGCGAAGGAAGTGGGGGGGGGGCACTTGTGAAACATGGGGGAGCGGGGTTTGGGGAGGGAAACACGCTGCGGGTTTTGTGACGTGACGGGGACGTGAGCTCGATTGCACACGTGCTCGGCATGACCGTATCACTCTTAGTGACAATGGTGTCACTACTAGTGACAGTGGTGTCATTACTAGTGACGGTATAAATGCTACTGTTACCATGGTATGACTACTAGTGATAATGGTATCACTCTTAGTGACAGTGGTATCACTACTAGTGACAGTGGTATGACTTCTAGTAACCATGGGATCACTGCTGTACAGGATTCCCTTCTTATTCACGAACTTGCTATCCGCGAATTTGGCTCTCCGCGAATCGCATCTGGGACTCTAAATTATTGCACCGAGAGAGAGAAAAAGAAAGAAAGTGATAAAGTGATGAGAGATAACGCGAGGAGAGATAAAGTGATGAGATCGAGTGACCCTGATTATTCGCGAAGAGGAATACGTTCCGGAGATGCTCGTGAATAGAAAATTTCACGGCTCACGATATTGGCCTATGAAAACCTCGTTTTGAATTAATTATGTTAAATAAATACAGTACATGAAAATTGTATCAGCACCTTCTCACATCACTTTACCTGATCGTTTTATATCTCATCACTTTATCTCTCATCGCTTTATCTCTCATCGTTTTATCGCTCATCACTATCTCTCGTCACTTATCTCTCACCACTTTATCTCTCATCACTTTATCTCTCGCAACTTTATCTCCGATCGCTTTATCTCTCATCACTATATCTCTCATCGCTTTATCTCTCATCACTTTATCTCTCATCACTATATCTCTCATCGCTTTATCTCTCATCACTTTATCTCTCGTCACTATATCTCTCATCGCTTTATCTCTCATCGCTTTATCTCTCATCGTTTTATCTCTCGTCACTTTATCTCTCATCGCTTTATCTCTCATCGCTTTATCTCTCATCGCTTTATCTCTCATCGCTTTATCTCTCGTCGCTTTATCTCTCATCGCTTTATCTCTCATCGCTTTATCTCTCTTCGCTTTATCTCTCGTCGCTTTATCTCTCGTCGCTTTATCTCTCATCGCTTTATCTCTCATCGCTTTATCTCTCATCGCTTTATCGCTCATCACTTTATCTCTCATCGTTTTATCTCTCGTCACTTTATCTCTCATTGCTTTATCTCTCATCGCTTTATCTTTTTTATCCTCTCTCTCGCTCTCTCAATGCAGTCATGTCGAGTTCCAGATGCAATTGGCGGATAGCAAGTTCGTGAATAATGAAGGGAATACTGTACAGCAGTCATTAGTAGTGATACCGTTGAATCTACCGTGAATCTACCGCGGTGTGCATCTGCATGCACGCGGTCCGTGCCGTCACGTAGTCTGTGCTCGACATGCATTGTCACGTCTTATTTCCGGTCCGCGCCGACGCGCGTCTCTGCATTCCAATTTAACCGCATCCGAGATCGGCCCTCGCAAGGCCCAGTGCTGCACGGTTGCAGCGGCCAGTGGCCACGCTCAGTGGGGGCGGGTGAGGAGGGAGGAGGAGGGTTCTTCCTGGACACCAGCTGAACGCGAGTTGCACGCGAGGCCGCCGGACAAAGCGAAGAAATGTATTGATGTCCGTGCCTGCTGTGGCGGAGTTTTGCAATAACGCTCGCTCGGGGTAAATATATATATTTTTTAAACCCAACTCTCTGTTGCTTGGGGGTTGTAGAGAATGCACAGTGCGGTCACAATGCAGCCCAGTGTTTGTGCGCTCGCTCGCTCGGTTCACGAGCCTAGTGGGATGCCTAACGTTGCTCCTGCCCCGCTGTGTGTGGGTGTGATGGTTGTGTGCGAGTGTAGCGATTCGTGTGGGGGGGGCGGTGGCGCAGAGGTTAGCGCTACGAACCCGGCGACCCGAGTTTGATTCTCTTTTCATGACCGGCAACACCGGTGACAATTATCTGAACCGGTCCTGCGCCTCCCCTAGGTCGGCTAGGCCTCAAATAATTACCTGGTGCTGTGTGTAAACATCGCCACTTTGGAGACAAAGGCAGCTGAGCATGGTACTGGCCACCCACCCCCTCGTGTGCCGTGTCAGCCTTTCATTGGTGCTCGCTAACAGCACTTGCCCGCGTCGTCATTTCAAGGCTATACGGGGGATCTTTGTCTATGGGTGTAGGAGTGTGTGTGTGTGAGTGAAACTGCCCACGCACACAAACGCGTGTGCGCTTAGCCGCACGTGATGCGATTTTTTTTTGCTCTAACTCAGACCTCTCTGGTCGGTCAATTCTAGGAAGTGGAGTTGCAGCTACTTTGCCGCCTCCGCGGAAATACAGTTCCGTTATTAATTGAATAAAGCCTTCAGAGTCTGCATTCACGGTTCCAAGGAGCCATGCGGTCTTAAGTCGTACCAGACATTAACAACGACCCCAAATCACCACCAGCATTATCAGCCATGAGCAATCCACTGCTGGATGAAGACCTTCCTAAGCCGCCACCATCGCTCGCGGTCCTCCTTGCGATGGTCACAATCCACCCGGCTGATTTCGTGGTTGCACGATGTCTGTCTGTTTCCTCGTTCATGCAAATCACGTCAAGTGAAAATACATGTCGCAGTCTGCTATAATAAAGTCCGATTTTTCCGCTCTTACGCGTTACACGGCGGATCATGAAATGCTCGCCGTTAGCGGTGGGCAACATGCCGAGTGAAGCGCGATTGAAGAAGGTGTAAAGTGATTTTTTTTAATCGCGCTCAAAGCTCGGAGCCCGAGCCAAGCTCAAAAAACGACGCAAAAGACACTCGCTAAATACAAAGTTACGAGAGAAACTGATATGGTGAATATATTTGAACCAGTCCAGGGCCCCTCTCCTAGGTTGACTCGGCCTGAAATGAGTACCCAATGCGGTGTGTAAACAACACCAGGGAAACAAAGACGGCCGGGTGTGGTGATGACCACCACCTCGTGTCTCTTTCCGGCCTTCGTGGGCGTTAACCGCGCTGCGCTACAAACCCGGCGACCCAGGTTTAATTCCAGCTCGCAGGCATCAACACCAGTGACGATTATCTGGACCGGTCCTGGGCCTCTCCTACGTGGACTCTGGTGCGATGTGTGAACGATGTGTAAACGATGTGTGAACGATGTGTATACGGTGTGTGAACATCGCACCGGCGAGACAATGATGCTGGCCACCCATCACCGAGTGTGCGGTGCCGGCCTTCGTGAGTACAACTCGCTAACAACACTTGCTACAATAGTCTGTTAAGGCTACACGTGTGGGAGGGGGGGGGGCTTTGTCTTTCTTACCCAGAGGTTAGCGACCAATGCGAAGAGCTCGAGCCAGATGTAAGAGGTGACGTTTCAGGCAATGGCCGTTCTTCATAGCACACAGGGAGAAGGATCATCGTCCAAAACGCCGCCTATTATCATGTACAGTATATTTTATTTCCCATATTAGGCGGTGTTATGGATGGTGGTGATGATGATGATAAGACAGTAAGAGCGAGTGAAACAAAGGGAAGAGCTCAGGGTGATTGGTGGTGGTGGTGTTGGTGGTGACATTAACACTAACACTCGTGATCATGGTGGTCGTGGTGATGACAACAGTGACGATGATTATGACGAAGCAAGTGGAGGCAACACTGACCACGACGACGACGACGTTTGATGATGACATCACTGCTGATGATGATGGCGTTGACATCTGTCTGTCCGCATGCGTGGCGCAGGTCTCCGCCTGACCCAAGCTCCACCGAACATCCTCCTCGGCCCCCGGCGCCCGTCCGTTGGATCGTGGGGGGGTTCCTACGAGGCGGCATCGTCACACCCCGGCAGCCCCCCAACTCTCCCGCCCCTGCCCCCCACTCCGCCCAACTTCGTGAGTCAACATGGGCTCGCGAATCCTGCTGCGGCAGCAGCTGATGAAGGACCAGCTGTGCGAGGAGGAGCGAAGGACGCAGCAGCAACAGCAGCAGCAACAACAGCAGCAGCAGCAGAATGCGACGTTCTTGCCCGGCCAGCAACGGCCCAGCGCGCAGACGCCGGCCATCAACGTGCAGGTGCCGGCCGGCCTGCCCAAGGCACAGGTGCCGGTGCAGGTGCTCAAGGTGGGTCCTCGCTCCGCTTCTCTTGCGGGCGTTCTCCAAACTAGAGTTGAGACCGAATGATTCGTCAGCGCCGCCCGTCTGTCTGTACGTGCGTCTGTGCGTGCGTCTGTACGTGCGTCCGTAGTGGAGGGGTCCTCGCTCCGCTTCCCTTGCGGGCGGTCTCCAAACTTGAGTTGAGAGCGAATGATTCGTCAGCGCCGTCCGTCTGTCTGTGCGTGCGTCTGTGCGTGCGTCTGTGCGTGCGTCTGTGCGTGCGTCTGTGCGTGCGTACGTCTGTACGTGCGTACGTCTGTATGTGCGTACGTCTGTACGTGCGTCTGTACGTACTTCAGTACGTGCATACGTAGTGGAGGGGTCGTCGCTCCGCTTCTCTTGCGGGCGTTCTCCCAACTGTAGTTGAGAGCGAATGATTCGTCAGCACCGCCCGTCTGTCTGTGCGTACGTCTGTGCGTACGTCTGTGCGTACGTCTGTGCGTACGTCTGTGCGTACGTCTGTGCGTACGTCTGTGCGTACGTCTGTGCGTACGTCTGTGCGTGCGTCTGTGCGTACGTCTGTACGTGCGTCTGTGCGTACGTCTGTACGTGCGTCTGTGCGTACGTCTGTACGTGCGTCTGTGCGTACGTCTGTACGTGCGTCCGTAGTGGAGGGGTCTTCGCTCCGCTTCCCTTGAGTTGAGAGCGAATGATTCGTCAGCGCTGTCTGTACGTACAGGTAGTCCTCCGCTTACGATGGAGATGCGTTACGACGACCCCATCGTAAGTAAAAAATATCGTAAGTCGAAGATGGCCTAGCCTACCCAGGAGTCTTAAAGAATGGTGATAATTTAGCAAAACAGAGCAATTTACAGTACCGTACTGTATAAACTATATACTGTATGTATTTATTAATTACAATACTGTATTGCACAGTAAAATGTAAAGTAAGAAAACCAAAGTAAATTCTTAGCCGACCTATATGAACTGCAATTTAATAGAAAGTTTTTTCAGGAAACAATCCTATCTTCTATAAAAACTTTTAACATGCATTGAACGTAGCGTATCGTGGTAACCCTAAAATGAAATCGCTAAAGCTACGTATCATACATGGTTTGAACGTACCGTATCGTACCTCGTACGCTGCTGCCTTTGCCTGCCGCACGAAATTTTAAATATTTTACAATTTTGTCGTATCGCTATCGCCATCGTAAGATCAAAATATCGTAAGTCGGACCATCGTAACTCGGGGACTATCTGTACATACGTACGTACGTCCGGGACTTCACGATAACTCTCGTAAAGATGAATCCAGTACGGACGAAAGTTTTAGTGTGAAGTTGTGTTGCTGTTTGCGAATTACCCTGGCCGCATTGGTCACAGGATTATTGCCTGTAATTATTTAAAACACGCTTTGTTTGGGGGGGGGGGGGGGATGCGGGGTGGAGGACACCGGGACAGACTTCATGAAACCACGGGGGATGTCCCGGTCAAACCGCGACTCTGCGAGGCTTTGGCACAAATTCTTCCACGAGAGTAGTACCGTGGTGAACGTGGGACGTGGCGAGGCGAGGCGATGACGCTCGTTGTATTTCTCCCGTTGTTTCCGTTGTCACCAGGTCCAGACGAACCTGGAGAATCCGACCAAGTACCACATCCAGCAGTCTCAGCACCAGCAGGTGAGGGTGCTTGAGTCCCGTCCTGAACTCGCTCGCTCACCAGAGCTCGCAAACGGGTTTTGATTCCTTACCCGTACCCATACCCGGCCGCACCAGGGTCGCAAACGGGTACCCGTACCCGGTTGAGTACGGGTATCGGGTAGGGTACGGATATCGGGTACCCGGTTGCGACCTCTGTCGCTCACTCACGGCTTGGCACAGCGCCGTCCCACCGCTCACTCGGGGAAGTGTGGAGAATCTCCGCTGCAGTGAATCTGCGGAATCCACGGCGGCAACGGTCCGCGCAGTCCACAGCGGTGGCGCCAACCCGCGACTCGCCGCCTCGCGACCCGTCGCGCTGCCCGTGCCTCGCCCCTTCCCAATGTCGCGGCGCGTGCTCCCCGTCCCTCGCGCCCGTGCGCAGGTCAAGCAGTACCTGACCACGACGCTGGGCACCAAGGTCGCGCACCAGGTGCTGGCCATTTCACGCCCGTCGGCGAGCTCCGCTCCTAACATGACCGGCGCCGCCGCCACCGGCGCCGGCACTGCCGGGGTTCACGTCTCCCCCGGGCAGCAGCAGCAGCAGTTTGCCACGACGGCCCCGACGGCGGGGGCGCTGGCGGCGGCGGCGGCGGCGCAAACGCAGTCCGTGTCGCCTCACGGCTCTGCCGTGCTGCTGCCGGGCAGCGGATCCGGCCTCAACAGTCCCATGGCCCTGCTCAACATCAACAACAACGAGAGCAGCGAGAGGGAGGTGCGTGCTCGTACGTGCGCGTGTACACATGTGCGTGCGCGCGTGTGCGTGTACACATGTGCGTTTACACCTGTGCATCTACACGTGTGTGTGTGTGTGTGCACATGCGTGCGTTTATTTTGCCGGCTGATACTTGCCCGTTGACAGCACTCTTCCCCGACAGTCTATTAAAGACTAAAAGGGGTGGGGGATCTTTGTCTTAATGGTTTTTACCTGCTGTGAATTGCTCGCTCACACCACTTGCTGGGAGGAAGGGTCCCCCACTGGAGCGAGCCGTAGAGTGGTAGTTGGCCTGCTCTTCCACATGGACCCAGAGACGTCTTGGAAGACCTGGGAGCACGCGCATCTTCAGCCATCGCACGCGACCTGCCGACCATTTGTTCTACTGCTGCCCCATTGATTCAACTGCCGCTCCGAGAGATCTAATTTAACCCCCCGCAGCTTCTGGATTGTCCAGCGCGCTGACCCATTCGCCCTGCTGTGACAGGCCGCTTCGTTTCAGCTGTAGGCTATCGCTGCATCGTTTTACCCGAGAAAGCATCGCCGCGTCTCAACACTCTTTGTCAGTGGGGGTGCTGCTAAGTTTTCGCAGTAGGGGGCGACAATCGCTGCGCTTTTCCCCAGCGCAGGAATTTGCGAGTGATCTGTACCAGCGTCACGGTTCAAATTCGAACAAAAAACTTTTTTTCTTTTACCGTGTAAGGCCTACTAAGCTATAATAGCTCTTTTTTTTTTAGAAGCGACCTTGCCACGAATAATAGCTCAACGAAATGATTTTCCTGTGGAAAATTACACCAGCCAAATCCTCCAAACGCATGATGTTGATTCTAATTGGTGAGGGAGAAACCAGAGGACCCGGAGAAAAATCCATTCCACCACGGGGAGAACACGCAAACTCCAAATATACAGCAGCAGGCGTCACGGTTGGGATCGAACCCATGACCTCCTGCATACCAGGCGAGGGAGTTAACATCTCACCAGGATTGTGAGATTGGCAAATTTGGATCGTGACCTCCGGCATTCGTGCCCACATCTTTACCAAATGGCATCACACGATCATTCCTGTCCATTGCGAAATGTACGGCGTGCATTGCGTTACATATTTGTTATTTTTAGTTTACGATTGATGCAGCCGCCGCAGTGTTAACCAGGGCGGCAGTGGGATTCGAGGCCCTTTAGCCGGCAGTGGTGTGAGCGAGTAACCTGCAAGGTGGACTTGTGTTTAACGTGTTTCGGTCACCCAGGTTCACGTCTGTTTGCTTTGGCCAGGCTGTGTAACCTGGTCCCCAACACCGCACAAACGTCGTCTATTTTCAGGTTTTCTATTTTTATAAACGGAATAGTTTTTTTTTTTTTTAAAGCTTTTGCCACACTGATGACAGAGAGGTTATTTATAGTCGCCCGTGCGAGTTCATCTTGCGAAAGAGCAGATGACGCAGATCCCGGCTTCCATTTGCCGCGAAGCTTCTGGGCCGCGACCTCTAAACCTCATCTGCTGCACGAACCTTGGTAGCAGCAGATGATGTGGATAATGGGTGATGATGGTGATGATGATGGACAAATGGAAAATGTCAAATTCTCTGGTCTATGTGCATCATCATTACAGTGATGATTCACCACTCTGCTACTCCTCACTGGCAATCACCTGCATGGTCCATCAATCGCCTCAATGTCAAATTATCGTTGTTGGTCGAACATCAACATCGGGCGTACGCAAGAAGAAAGTGTGCGTTAACACAGGCACCAAGTTCTGTAATATATTTCGATTTAAAGCTTTCGTGACTGCAGGGATTCATCTTCTTGGTTCTTTCGGTAAAGTCACGTAGAAGGGAAGTAATAAAATAATAAAAATAAAACATAATAAAATTAAATAAAATTATTCTCACGACGTTTCGGCCACAACGCAAGCAGCCGTCCTCAGGTGAAAACCAGGTCCGTCGAGGCGACAGAGTTCTGTAATATACACAGAGGTTGTCTTACCGCTGGAATAAATGTTTCTATGTACGTTGAACCTCTTTCGCGCACCGTACGTAGCCAACCCTGCTAATCGGAGATGCGGGGGGAAGGACAACAAACTAAACACAAAAAACTGTTGTGAAGAAATGTATTTTCTATTCAGTATAGTGGTGTAAGTATATAGTTGTGCAGTGTGTCATAGTGTCGTACGTAGTGTGTATTGTAGTGTATGTACGTTGAACTTCTTTCGCACCGTACGTCGCCAACCGTGCTAATTGGAGGTGCGGGGGAAGGACAATAAACTAAACACACAAACAGCAAAGTGCACAGCTGCCAGTGGCTTCTAACGGTGTGTATCAATGGGCTCTGACATGGCCAAACGGAGGGAATCGAACGTGGGACGTAATGAGTCCCTGTGGGCTTTCGCCTGGTTAAGTAAAGCGCGTTCAAAGCGTAGTGGATCTCATCGCGGGTCTTAATTGGTTGAATAGGAAAAAAATATTCAAGCGTCAATCTCAGTCTGCTGTCATCTTGTTAAGTGAAGGATGTCAATGGCAAGAGAGACTGCGACTTGCAATAAGCTCTCACCTGGCTAAATGAAGGACATCGCGAGGCACGATGAATCTCGGTGGTCGCTCACCTGAGTGATTGTCAAGTGCGTCGGTCGCGATACGACGTCTCACTGCGTTCTCTCACGGCTAAAATGAAGGGCGGCGGAGTTCAGTGGACCTCGGCGGGTTCTTGCCTGGTTGAAATGAGCACGCGAATCTCGCTCGTTGATGAACGTCGTCCGGCTTCTCACGTGGTTAAATAAAGGACGCCACGAGGCACGGTGAATCCGAAACGGGGGTCACGCGATCGCCCCCCCCCCTCCCCCTTCGCCAGAGGTCGCAAACGGGTTTTGATTCCTTTCCCGTACCCGGCCGCACCAGGGTCGCAAACGGCTACCCGTACCCGTACCCGGCAACCGGGTATCGGGTAGGGTACGGGTATCGGGTACCCGGTTGCGACCTCTGCCCCTCGCCCCCCCCTCCCCGCTCGTAAACTAAACGACGCGCGCCCGCGCGTGTCTCCCGCCGTGTCGCGGCACAGATGGAAGACGTCATCGATGACATCATCAGCCTGGAGTCGAGCTTTAACGACGAGATGTTCAGCCTCGTCGACTCCTCCGGCCTCCCGCTCTCCAACACGGTGAGCAAGCGCGGCGGAGTCGCGTCGGCTCTGCGAGTCCGTGCGTCCGTGCGTCCGTCTGTCGGTACCGGGGGGAGGGCACTCTGGTAGAGGCGGTCCGCCGAGGACGTAATCCGAGTGCCGTGTTGCGTTGCCGTTGGCGACACGGCCTAGAGAAAACCGGACACGTTGACCTGGCTCTGTGTGTCCGTGCATATCGTGGGGGTCACGGCAACTCTCGCAGAGATGATCTGATACCAGCGAAACTTTTAATGCAAAATGTTGTTTGCTATTGGGGGGGGACTCAGCCTGGGCAAAACCGGTCACGTTGATCTCGGGATGAATGAATTAGCTCTGCCCGTGTGTAACGTGGGGGCCACGGTAACGCTCGCGGCGTTGATTCCGATACCAAGGGAACTCCGGTGCGGTGTTGCGTTGCTATTGGTGGGGACTCGCCCCTGGAGAACACCGGGGCAAATTGATCCAAAGAATTCTGCCCAACAAACCTGGAGACAAAAACACCGGTGCCAGAAGGGGGGAAGCAAGGCACCTCCGCTCCCATCTCCGCCTCCGCCCGGCAATGCCCTCCCCGACGCCGCGGCCTCGCAACGTGGTAGCGCGTCCACGCGCCTTGCAACGTCGCATCGTCGTAGCGCGTCCACGCGCCTTGCAACGTCGCATCGTCGTAGCGCGTCCCGCGCCTTGCAACGTCGCATCGTCGTAGCGCGTCCACGCGCCTTCAACGTCGCATCGTCGTAGCGCGTCCACGCGCCTTGCAACGTCGCATCGTCGTAGCGCGTCCACGCGCCTTGCAACGTCGCATCATCGTAGCGCGTCCACGCGCCTTGCAACGTCGCATCGTCCGTAGCGCGGCCACGCGCATTGCAACGTCGTATCGTCGTAGCGAATCCACGCGCCTTGCAACGTCGCATCATCGTAGCGCGTCCACGCGCCTTGCAACGTCGCATCATCGTAGCGCGTCCACGCGCCTTGCAACGTCGCATCGTCGTAGCGCGTCCACGCGCCTTGCAACGTCGCATCGTCGTAGCGCGTCCACGCGCCTTGCAACGTCGCATCGTCGTAGCGCGTCCACGCGCCTTGCAAACGTCGCATAGTCGTAGCGCGTCACGCGCCTTGCAACGTCGCATCGTCGTAGCGCGTCCACGCGCCTTGCAACGTCGTAGCGCGTCCACGCGCCTTGCAACGTCGCATCGTCGTAGCGCGTCCACGCGCCTTGCATCGTCGCATCGTCGTAGCGCTTGGAGAGGACCGTCGCAAGGCCACGTTGCTGCTGGGGACTTAAACCGCGTACCCTCTTTGCCCAAAGCGATGACCCAAACTTTGGAGACACAACCCAGAGCAAAGGTGGGGGGTGAGGGGGTGGGGGGGGGAAGGAGTTGCAATTATGGAGGCGCCCGTACGGGCCCACCCGTACCCCCATCCACTTCCACGGTTATTCGGGAACCAACCTACAAGCCCCGCCCATCACCTCCCGTCCAGCGGCACGACGTGGGAGCAGAGGGAAGACATTTCCCCCCCCACCCGTTAGTTTTTTCATTTTTTCCGATTGGTCGAATAGTGTAAACTGCAAGCCGCTAGAGGAGTCGGTTACTCGAGTGAGCAGTATTACAGCCCGTGCTCTAATGCGTGTGCCTGGTTGTGTTTGTGTCCGCCTATGTGTCCCAGCTGCCGGTTCAAAGCAACGGGCTGGAGGTGTATGGGGGCGCCGGGGTGGTGATCCCGGGCATCACACTGACCAGCACCAGCTGTCCCGCCAACCTGGCGCCCGTCAAGCTGGAGGTTGTGGGTAAGAGCGTCTTGCCGTTTATTTTTTGTATAAATATCGCGTTTTGGTTGGAACCACTTGGGTCCCTGCGTGTGTATATGGGTCACTGTGATTCTATGGATCTCTGTGTGTGAGTCTGAGCGTTCAGTGCGAGTGCATGAGTCTGTATGTTAGTCTATGGGTCTCTGTGTGGGTCTCTGAGTCAGGGAATCTCTGTGAGTCTTTGGGACTCTGTGCGAGTCTGAGTCTGCGTGAGTCTGTGAGTTTGTGCGAGTCTCTGTGAGTCTATGGGTCTCTGTGTGAGTCTATGGGTCTCTGAATCAGGGAGTCTCTGTGAGTCTATGGGTCTCTGTGTGAGTCTATGGGTCTCTGAATCAGGGAGTCTCTGTGAGTCTATGGGTCTCTGTGTCAGTCTATGGGTCTATGTGTGAGTCTATGGGTCTCTGTGTGAGTCTATGGGTCTCTGTGTGAGTCTATGGGTCTCTGTGTGAGTCTCTGGGTCTCTGTGTGAGTCTATGGGTCTCTGTGTGAGTCTATGGGTCTCTGTGTGAGTCTATGGGTCTCTGTGTGAGTCTCTGGGTCTCTGAGTCAGGGAGTCTCTGTGAGTCTGAGTCTGCGTGAGTCTGTGAGTTTGTGCGAGTCTCTGTGAGTCTATGGGTCTCTGTGTGAGTCTATGGGTCTCTGAATCAGGGAGTCTCTGTGAGTCTGTGGGTCTCTGTGCAAGTCGCCGGTGATGGGGCCGAGACCACCGGCTCGCCGTGCTTGAACGCTCTCTCTCGGGGTTTAAGTCGCGGTTTGGGGGCGTCTGAACCCCCCCGCCCCGGACGTGAACCTAGGATCGCGGCGACAGCGGCAACGTCCTCCCTCCTGGTCTGCGTCGCTCCGATACCGCTATGGACACGCATGTCTTTTGCACAGAAGATGAGCATCGTGTCCTGGTGAAGGAAAGGCAGAAAGAAGACAACACAACCTCAGTGAGTGCCTGCTCCCGCTCTACACGCGCACACTCCTCTCGCGTGTGTGTGTGTCCGCGTGTGTGGGGAACGGTAGTGTTGCGGTTAGCACTCTGCGCTACGAAGCTGGCGACCCGGGTTCGATTCCCGCTCAAGGCCGACACCAGTGACGATTATCTGAACCGGTTCTGGGCCTCGCCTTGGTCGACTCGGCTTCAAATGAGTACCTGGCGCAGTTCGTAAAAACATCACCACTAGGGCGACAAAGGCGGTCGGGCTTGGTGCTGGCCACCCACCCCCTCGTGTGCCATTCTGGCCTTCATAGGCTCGCTAACAGCACTTGCCCCTACAGTCTGTTAAGGCTATACGGCAGATAATTATTTTCGTGTGCGTGTATGTGCAGCTTCACCCGGGAGCTCTCCGTCTTCAGGAGAGGGGGGCGTGGAACGTCTTTAAGTTGACGGGTCGAATAGGACCTTTGAATTACCAATGGGAGCTGCGGTGGTGAGATGTTAACCTCCCTCGCCTGGTATGCAGGAGGTCGGGGCTTCTATCCTGACCCTGACTCCTGTTGTCTCTTTAGAGTTTGCGTGTTCTCTCTTCGCAATCATAAACTTGTGTTTTAGGGTATTTAGATTGTTTTGCTGCTATAAATGTACGCATGATAAGCCACTTCGTTGAGCTATCATTTGTGCCATGTTGTTTCTGAAAAAGAAACGAATAGCTCAGTGGGCTTTACCTAGTAAGATAAATAAAACAGTTCAGTAATTGACATGATATTCTTCAGTTAATAAAACATCACATCATCACCTCAACCATCACGCCGTGGAATGATCAGCATCATCTTCGTCGTCATCATCGTGAAGGTCGATTGGTTCATGAGGATTGTTTTCAAATGTGTGGAGAGGCTTTCATTCAGCATGAATTGACTAAAATCTGAAATATCATTTATTTAGTCAAATACTCAAAAGTCGTCGAGATCATTCTCAATGCATTCATCACCTGAACTATCAAGCTATGAAATCATAATCATCGTCGCCATTTAATAATTGCCATCATCATTATATGTCGCCATCATCATCATCGTCGTCCACCATCATAATCATTGCCATCATCATCGCCAT